TTGACTCCTTTCACCAGGATGGTGACTACTCCATCCTTCACGGCAGCATTGGACATAAATTCAATCAGTTCATTCCTGGCCAGCCTCCCATCCATTTCAAGGACCATGTCCTTCCAACCTTGTGCAGCTAAAGCATCCACCAGTCTCTTCATCCCTGGTTCTTCCAGGTCCTTCAACATTCTACCTTTCAAGATTTTTCTTCTGCCAAAAATGGCAAGCTTGTCCTGTTCCTTTTCAGATTCCTCTTCTTCTTCTTCTCCACTCCATTCATCATCTTCTTCAGTAATATTCACCTGCTTTCCTTTCACTGCAGATCTTGTCCTCTTGGCTAATGAGGGTTCAGCAGACACAGGTACAGAGGAAGACTTCTTGGAAGAAGTCTTGGACTTTTTAGGTTTTGGGGTAGGAACCTCCACTGTTGTTCCCCTTTCTTGATGGACCAGTTCCATCTCCACTTCTTCTGCAACCTCATAGGATTCAGCAGCCTTTCTCTTTCCCTTCTCCATTTCCTTTTTCTTGCTTTCTTCCAGAGCTTTTTGTAGGTCAGCTTCACTTTTTCTTACCCTGCTTCTTGTAGCTCTTCCTTTAGGCACTGAAGGGGCAGTAGATTTTGGGGATGAAGGTTTTCTTTTCTTGGTTGGTTTGGGTACATTTTGGGCCTTTTGTAAGGTAGCTTTGCGTTTCTTTGGGTCATAACTTGCAACCTTTTTCAGAAGATCAGCCAGGGTTTCCTTAGCAGATGAACTAGGTTCATCTCTTTGTTTGCTTAGATGAACCAACCCTTCAGCTGCTTCCCCAGAGCCACTTCCCCTGACTTTATGCCACTCTATTTTGCACCTCTACATATAGCAAGAACTGCTCCTTTCCCTTTTCCCCTCTCTTCACCACTTGCTCCCTCTCTCTCTTTTCCTTTCTTTTTACCTCCACTCCTACTCGATTCATCCAACATTGCATCTCTAATAGGTCCAACTAGAACAAACCTATTTTCTACGTTTTCAACCACAGAAGAACTTACCTCAGGGGTTTCTTGAATTTTCTTAGTGTCAGAAGACCCATGTCCTTCACCTTCACTGGAAGATATAAAGGATTCAGAGTCAGAACTGGAGTCAGACTCTTGAGCTGGGCTTTCTTTCATCTGGCTAGCTTTCAATCTCTCATTTAAAACTTTCCTCAGAGCTCCAGATGCTACAGTTTTTCTAGCCAACATTTTCTCCCTTCGAACCCTAGGTTTTGGGGATTCATTAGGAGGAGTAGATAAGGATGAATTTGAGGGTGATGGTGGTTGAGGAGTGCCAGGATGATCTTGTGGGTTAGACATGGTTGATTGTTTCTTGAGAGAATTTGGGAATTTCTGGAGAAGAGAAGCGATTAAAACTGGAGAAATATTTTTGACGGTTTTAGAATAGTGAAGAAGATTTAGATATGTGGTGTGTATTTAAAGGCAATTTGACATTAATGCAGTAACGGCAGCTTTTCAGGGGTCAATTAGAAGTCTAATCAAGGTGTAATTCCAGGCTTTTAATGATTATTTTGGCTTCCCTAGATATTAGGCAAAAATCACGGTTTTTAGAGTTCTAAATGAACGAAACTGGTTCAATGCCTTAACGGATAGAATTTTCTAGGAATTTGTCAAGTATAGGACTTCTGCTCATGATTGAATTGTTAATCTTTTTAATTATGCAAAGTATTGAAAACATACTTGAACTTTCATATGAACTCATACTGATGAACCAGGTTCTTCGTATAGAACTCTCTTGAACATGCCTCAAATGCCATAATAGAAAAAACTTTATAAGAGATCAGTGAGTCATATGTACACATGTCACAGGAGTATACCAATTAAAGTATGAAACTCAATAAGAATTAATCTAGATATTTACACAAAGTTAGAACTCCTAACCAATTTTTTTTTCAATTTTGTTTCATTGTGCATTCTGAACTGGACCTATTAGGTGATCTTAATCATCCCTAATTCCAACATGTTCCTCTCAAAGTTTTCTCTACTCAGTGCTTTATTGAAAATGTCAGTAATTTGCTTATCAGTAGCACGGAATTCTATGGAGATCAGTCCTTTCTCATAGTTATCTCTTAAGAAGTGGTATCTAACATCTATGTGCTTAGTCTTCTTATGATGAACAGGGTTCTTTGTCATACTTATAGCACTAGTGTTATCACAGAATATTGGAATACAACCAACTTCAATACCAAAATCTACCAGTTGCTGTTTGATCCATAGCAATTGAGCACAACAAGAGGCAGCAGCAACATACTCAGCTTCAGCAGTAGATAAGGCCACTGAGTTTTGCTTTTTGGTAGCCCATGAGACAAGACATGAACCAAGGAAGTGTGCCATACCTGAGGTGCTCTTCCTATCCACTAGAAAACCTGCATAATCAGCATCAGCATATCCTACTAAATTAAAATTGCTACCTTTGGGATACCAAAGACACAGATCAGTGGTGCCTTTCAAGTATCTTAGTATCCTTTTGACAGCAGTCAGGTGAGATTCTTTAGGATTAGTCTGAAAGCGAGCACAAAGCCCTACACTGAATGGAGACAGAGCGAGAAAACTCTTATGCTAAAAGTCAGTAATTGACAATTGTTTACAACAAGCATGGACTATAGTAGCCTATAAAATATAGTGAATGACATATTACAAGTCGTAAATTACAAAAAAAATACAGTATACAATTATTACGTAACTATTATATATAGGAAAATTTTCACATAAGAACAACTGAGCTCCCTGCTTTTAAATTTTATAGGTCATATTTTAATATACAACCAACTAGTCCAAAAATAATAGGCTAAGATTCAACATCCAACTCCAATAGGTTCTAGAAATTACTATTTAATTTTTTAAAAAGATTGCTCAAGCTTTTAAGTTATTTTTTGAATCAGTAACTGTGACTCAAATATTAATTCAACAAACCAAATCAATTTGAATGGTGAAAATTAAATTTTTAACAAGCTTAAACATGTGGGCTTAAATTTCGAATTTGATTTTGTGAGACATTTGGAGAGAGTGTTATTTAGACTTGTTAGAAATAGTATAAGGAGGTTGTATATAAAATTTGAAGTCATTTAATGGAGATTTGGACTGGTTTTGAACAAGAATTGCAATTGAAAATCGTGGAAGAAGTTCATCTACAAATGCTTGTATAAAGGTATATAACAGTGAATAATAGTGTATAAGATGTGTTTATACACTTATATACACTATTATACACGATTATACAAAAACTGACTTCGTCTTCTTCCTTGCATCTTTTCTAAAATTTAACTCAAATCTTGCTCAAATCTACTCCAAATCACTTCAAATTTATGTTTTGAACTCCTTTTGATATTTTCAATCAATTGGAACAACACCCAATCCAAACAACTAACAAACTCAAAAAATCCTATTTTCGAAAGGAAAGCTTTGAATGGCCTTCAACGTAGGACTTCTACTCTTTAATTTTCTTACATTGCAACCAGGTGACACAGGGTAAGAAGCAGCAATGGCGGACGGCCCCTTGACGCATATGTAGAAGATATGAGAAGAAGAGAGAGTGAAAGCAATAGTTGTTAGAACACATATTTAACTCCATAGCTTTTAAAATCAATGGTTGTAAGAACACGAGTTTTGAATTTGCTAGTGCTTTCAAAATATGTACAATATGGGCTATGTTGGGTAAAACTTAGAAACATGGGCCATTTTTTGTTATGGTGTGAAGTCATGTGTATTTTCTTGTAATTCTTTCTTAATCTAAGTACAAATTAGAAAGAGGTATCTGAAGTTACCCAGTTTAATGCCTGTTGAGCTTCATTGAATAGGTAGGGCGCTTCCACCTCGTTCATTTTGGTTTGCTCTTCCTCGATCACCAAGCACCGAAGGTAACTGTCTACCTCTACGAGGGCAGAGAGAACCCGGGCATCTTCTGAAAGGGACATGATAATCGACCGCTTCCGGTCAGGATTCAAACTCGGGGCTGGGAACCGGTTGACCAATTTTGGACTTAAGGAAGGCCCGCTTGTCCCCGAAAATGGGCTCTTCCTTGGCACCGGTAAGAATCCCAACCTGGTGACGTCCTCCGTGGCGGTAGAGCCTACGCCATCAAAACATTTGTGAAAGGGGTCTACCACCCCTTGGGGCCCCTCGTTGGGCGTCCTCTCAGTATCTGAGCCTCGTTAAACATGGACTCAGTGAACGAAGGCGACTCGGAGAGATCTATCACACCGAGTATGTCCTTCGGGACGTTGCCCACTGCCCGGGAAATCGGTCTTGGCCTCCCTAACTTGAGGAAAAATAGTCTTGCCTCCCTCTAGTTTGGAAGCCTCGGCCACGACCCCCTCATCGGCCTCCCTGAGTTGAGGCAATTTAGTCTCGCCTCTCATAGGTTCAGAGGCCCCTTATCTCTCGAACTGCGATCGCACATGGGCCACCAGTTCAGAAGCTTCTTCTTCTTCTTCTTCGGATTCCTTCCTCAGCCGGTGGAGAGAGCCCGATAATGGCGCTAGGGAACTAATGCTTTCTTTGGATTTGCGCACCAACCTCCTCCTTGGTTTTTTCTTCTCCGAGTTTGGAGAACTCGAAGCCCTTTTTCTCTTCTTCTCCTCACCTTGTCCCGGAGTAGGGGACTCGGCGGGGCAATCCTCGCCACTAGATGGAGGCCTCATTGCGATATCCTTGGAAAGACCTGCAAAGGGAAACGAAACAAGTAAGAACTCAGCAGCATGAAGGAAACCCAAGTGTTGTCCACTCAATAAAGGAATCTCACCGTGAGAACGGGCCTCCTACCGGCCTTTTGAAAGTTTGCTTCATGCGCACTCAGAATATGGCTTTTTAGAGACAATGTCCTCGACTCACTCCTTGAGTCGAGGGACTGCGTTCGGGACCCAAGCAAAAGCTGCATCGCCGCCACATACCGATAAGAAAGAAGGAAAAGAGATTAAAAAATAAAATTTTGGGAAAAACGAAACTTTACTTACGTTTTGTATTCCACTTCTTGGGGAACAGCATGTGGTTGGCTGGGATCAGGTCCAAGGTCCTCATTCGGACAAAACGGCCTAGCCAACCTCGATCCCGATCTTCATCGATGCTCGAGAACGGGGATTTACTAGCCAGGCGTGCAAGTTTAATCAGTCCCCCCTCCCCCCTGAAAGAGTTGGGGATTGTACAGGCGCATAAGGTGGCAGACGGTGAACGAGCATCAATCGATCTTGCTCACGAAGAACCGGAGAAGAATGACGATCCTGCAAAACAAAGAGTGGATCTGACCAAGGCACACCTTGTACCTTTTTGCAGAAGTGGATGATTACCGGGTCCAATGGGCCCAGCGTAAAGGGATAAGTGTAAACATTTAAGTATCCCTCGACGTGGGTAGTGATATCTTCATCGGGCCCGGGAACCACCACGTCTTTGCCGACCCAGTTGCAATCCTTTTTTACCACAGGGACAATTTTTTCAGTGATCGAGCAGATGTACCTCGAGACCTTCTCACACCGGCCCAGTAAGGGTGAAGGTTTTTCAACGTTAAAATCGGTGATCACCGAGCACCCGCCAGGAATGAGCATGCTATGAAGAGGTTCCGCCGCTGGTTCCTCGACGGCCGGCCGTGAAGCAGAAGTAGTTTTTTTTTGGGGAATTATTTTTGAAGTCTTCGCCCTTTTCTTTTAATGGAAGGTAAAAGATGAAAAAAAGGAAGTTAAAGGGATACACTTGTTGGTTTGGAATGAAGACGAGTGAAAGTTCTTACAAAGATCTCAAGAAACCAGGATACAAGTGCTAGGAAATGTAGAGATTTCTAACGAACAAGAGTAGAGAAGGTTTGGATGTAAAGTTTGAATGAACGAAGAAGGGAGTATTTATAGTTTCCAAACGACGGTTCAAATACAAGAGTGGCCGACCAGCAACTGACAAGCATTTGATGCCATTAAGACGTCATTGACGAGATGTTTCATTCATTTTGTCGTTTCTGACGCGGAGTATCGAGGTGAGAATCGGAAGCTCATATCGTTTCTCGTCGTTTACTCTCCAAAAAGCGAGGGGACTATCTGTATACGGTCAAAACCGGGCTCGTCTACTACATGACAAATCGGGCTCGGAGCACGAGAGACTGAAGATCGACCCCGATACCACCGGGCTTGAACTCGAGATCCGAATGTCCGTCCTCGAGAACATTGAGTCCGTGAACCTGGAATTGACCCTGACCCCGAGCAAGCTCGAGGAAACATTGTCAGTATAACCGATAGAAGACCGGAATAACGGAAGGCCGAAATATCTGTGACCGGTTGGATATTACAGCGCGAATCTCGACATGTATGAATATAGAATCAGAAAATCAGCAAATTAAGAGATTTTTACCTCTTATAGAATTGTACCTAAAGTAGGACTCCTCAACTATATAAAGGGGCTCAGATCACTTGTAAATCACATTGTAGCACGCATTCCAAAGCAATATATTATTTTTCTCATTAAACTCTTATTTTATCTGTGTCCTGATATCCATCGAAGTTCATCCAGTTCAAGGGTGGCTAATCTCCCAATGCTGTAACTTTTCAATTCGTGTGGTTTGAATTTATTTTTATCATTATTTATTCCAATTACAGTTCAATTCATCGCTTTGTGTCATGTTAATCCACGTATCCTTAAAACTATTTACAAATTTAATTGTTATCCGATTATGAGGGTAAACAATGTTAAAAGTGACATGAAATATTCGAGGACCATGATATATTATGTTACGTTTAGTATCGCGATACATAATAATATGTCAATTTTTATTTCTTAAATATCGTCTTCAATTAGACACACTAATATTTATTTTTCACAAAAGAAATGAAAAAGTAAAAAAGGCTGGTAAAGATTGTACAAATAATCTCCCAATGTACTACAGTTGTCCACCATGCCCTTAAAATTGGCATCTACGGACAAAGAATTCACTGCTCATGCACTCATCTCCTCAGCAAATAGACTCAATGGCCGACCCCATTTATAGATAGATTGCAGATTTCTAGAGCTAGTGAAGAGCAGTTGCAGCAGTTTAGCAGAGTAGGACTGAGTGCAGTGACTGATCAGTTTTCAATCCTAAAAAGAAAACCCACCACGAATAAACTGCCATATTTTATAAAGCCAGACGTTTTCATCTAAACCACTGATTTTCATGCACACGCGCCTCCACTGATTGACCCTTTTTATATTCTTTCTTTTTCTTTCATTTTTTCTCACAATATTCTGTAATACTCCATGGGTTGTTTAAAGAAACTGAAACAAGAGTAAAGGGTGGATAAAGGGGGAAAAAAGAGCCTAAAGTGTATTGGGTTGTGAAAAGGACAAAAACCCACTACGAGGTATAGAGTTAAAAAAGTACTACTAATAGGAGCACTAGAACAGTGAATCAGACTTTCTAGTCTTTTATTTTATTTTTAAGGGGATTATTTAATTTTTGTTTTTGTTGAATAACTGTTGATATATATGTTGGTCTTTGTCTGCATGTAAGGCTTTGGGTCTTTATGATGCAATAAAATCGTTTTGCTGAAATAATACATTGTGAGGATTCACAAAGAAACAAAAGAGGGGAAAAGGCAAAGTAAGAGAGAAAAAAGATGACCAAAGACCTATAGGCCTTTGTGTGACATTATTTTTTTTTGTTGCTTGTGTAAATGTTTGGTCTTGATGATGACTATTGAGGTTTCATGTCGGTTCTCAGATATGAGGGATTCTTGCTGAAAAAAAGTTGCCTTTTTTTTTTTCCTCTCTTCTTCTTTGGATCCTTACTTTATGGTAGAGCTGTAAGTTGACAAGTCAAAGAAAACAGTTTCTGGGGTTGGTTAAAAATTGAATCTTGAGCTTTAGAGTTTATGTTAATGGTGGATACAAGCTGAAACCAATCAAGGTGTGTATTCTTTGTTGAAAATGAAGTTTGACTTATTTCTTGATGATCTTGAAGTGTAAAGTTTGAAACTTTGCTTTGATTTTGGTGCAGGAAAAAAAAAAGATCTTTGTGCTAAAGAAAAGTTCAAGAATATCCAACAACAAAGTTATAATGGCAGATTATGGTTCTTTACCATCTCCAAATGATAACTGTAGAAAAACCTCTTCCTCTTTTTTTGGTTCACCAAGGTTGTTCACTGGTTTTGCTACAAAGGGCTTTCCTGATACTGAGTCTATTATGAGTCCTACTTCAATACTTGATAGTAGTAAACCTATATCTGCTTTTAGAAACCCTTTTTGGTCTGATTCTAACTCAAACACTCCAAGATCCCCTAAACCAGATAGTAGAGTTCATTGGGAGAAACTTGACTCAAAAGGGGTTGGCCTTGGCCTTGTTGATGCTCTCATTGATGAAAAATCTGATTCCAAAGAATTGAATCCTGTGAGCAGAATGGTTGTTTTTGGTTCACAATTGAAGATTCAGATCCCTACTACTTTGCCTCCCTCTTTTCATTCCCCTACTGATTCACCACCTTCTCCTGGTGATTTTGGTATCAAGACTAGAAATTCTCAGTTAGGTTCTTTCTCCCCATCTGCTATGAAGAAATCTCCATTTGGGTCTTCAAATTCTAACATGGACATCCCAAATTCACCAGGGGCATTCAGTAGTCTCTCTGCCGCTGAGATGGAGCTTTCTGAGGACTATACTTGTGTCATTTCATATGGTCCAAATCCAAGAACCACTCACATATTTGATGATTGCATTGTTGAGAGCTGTTGTGGTGTTGTTAAATACTCTGCTTCAAGAAAAGAAGATGAGCATTTTCCCAGTCTGCCAATGAGCTATTCCTATCCCTCTGAGAGCTTTCTCAGCTTCTGTCACTCTTGCAAGAAAAATCTTGGATTAGGGAAAGACATTTACATGTACAGGTAACCCAAATTTTCTATTTTAAAATTTCAAACTTGCCTAGGGGCTTATAGTTATGCTCGTATTTTGATCTGTTTATTAATGTGGTCATGAGGTTGAGATTTTTCCCTTTTCATGATTTAATTGTTCTTTGAGACTTGTTTTAGTACTGTTTCTTGGGCATGGTAATCTTGACACACCCTTACCAAATTTCATGTAGCATTGAGAGTTTCTCCAAAGGTTCTGTATTCTGTAAAAGACCCTTTAAAATAGTAGACTATTTTAAAGTATCTTATATGTTTAAGTTTCATGGTTTATTTTATAGTACTTGATAATTTCAGTTTGTAAGTTTATTAATCTGGCATGACTCATGAAGGTGAGATTTTTGCTTTTCTTTTTCATGACTTAATTGTTGTTTGATACACCTTTTTAGAATAGTTTGCTCTAGGACATGGTAATCTGGACATATTCTATGCAAATTTCTAGTAGAATTGAGAATTTCTGTAGGGCTGTGTATTATGCAAAAGATCAGAGTAATATTATCAGAGACTAAATCTAAAAGTAACCTTAGATGTTAAAGTTTCACACCTTGTTCTGCAAAATTATATTTAGTACCTTAAAGATTAGTAATACATTGATAAAACTTTTGAAACTTTCCTTTTTTAAGAACAATATGTGATGCATTATGTCCTGAGTTGTATTTCTGTACTGTGTTCTTTTTAGAGGTGAGAAGGCATTTTGCAGCAGTGATTGCAGATACAAAGAAATGATGTTGGAAGAGGGAATGGCTAAACCAGAGACTGATGATGTATATGGTATTATTTCTTGATAGTAACTGAGTCACTCAAGGCTGATGGCAAGTTTTATCTGTGACTATTGTCTATTGCAGATTCAAAACTGTTTTTTGTAAATTGGCATAATTGAATCTGTTTAGATGTATCTGTCATTTTTTTTTTTTTTGCCTTATTTTTTTGTTTTTGGTTTAGGGGTAAGAATATGTCTTTGTTGAGGAACAGGAAAGCTGATGAGTTAATATTGAAGTGATTGATGAATTTTTATTTGAAAGAAAAGATGTAGTAGGTGATTATGGTGTCTGACACTACTTTGTATGCTTTTTGAAAGTTTTATATAAATGATGTTGATTGATGATGTTAGAGTAAAGTTCCTGGCATTATCTTTGATTATGGTATTATAATATACACTAATCAATCCCATAATAATGCACACATCATCATAACCAATGACCTCAATTGAGTAGATTCTTTTCTCTTCTTTGGGATGTCCTCTTTCATCATCTGTTGATTGGCCAAGTTTAGCTATTTTGACCAGACTTTCATATTAAACAATTCAGCTAGAAACTATCATGGCGTAGTATTATACAAGAAGTTATTCTACCTATGCTATTGTTTAATGAGTGTGACAACCTAGATGAAATTAAAAAAAGAGATACGGATCAAACGCTAAAAATTTGGGCTAGTGGTCTTGTGTAGCAACTACAGTGTGTTCTTGTTAAGTTCCATATAAATTGTACTTCCTCCGTTTCAGTTTGTGAATTTGTTTGACTAGGCACGGAGTTTAAGAAAAATGAAAGACTTTTTGAAATTTGTAGTCCTAAACAAGTCAAAAAGTGCTCCAGAGTATTTGTATGGTTATAAAAGCTTCTCATTAAAGGTAAAATAAGCTAAATTGTTTCCAGATTTAGAATTTGGGACAGACCAAAAAGGAAATAGCTTCACATAAACTGGAACGGAGTTCTCATTAAGGGTAGAATTGGAAGTTTAAGCTAAATTGTTTCCGGATTTAGAAAGGGGTCATTTTTTTTAAACAGACCAAAAAGAAAATAGGTTCACATAAATCTGGAATGGAGGGAGCAACTTATATCGCTAATCATGGGCGAAGCTACACTATGGTAAGGGTGGTCAACTGACCACCCTTTGTTGGAAATTACACTGTGTATATAGGTAAAATATTAGGTTTTTGAGGCATATAATATATATTGAACACCCTTTGTTAGAGATTTTTTTTTTACTTCTTTCAAGTTTGAACACCCTAAGGAAAATTCCTGGCTTCGCCACTGTCGCTAATATATGGGTTGACCTACTTATTGCATTTGTTCATAGAATTTTTAAACTGCACTTTTTAACTTTGTCAAGTATTGAAAAAAAAATTAAAAAGAGCTTAAAAGCTTATTTGACCAGCCTAAAAGTCAATCCAAACACCCTCAGGGTTAGTTGTGCATTTCAAGTGAAGTTTTCAAAAATTCAACTTTCACCACAAATGTTGTACTTTAACAAACTTTTTTTATTTCAAGAAAGTTACAATTACTCAAACACAAAGTCGAATTCAGAACCACTATTTGTTCTGTTCTGATAATATGTTAAATTGTGTCTGGCATCATTTATGAATTTAACGTTATAGAAATATGAAGTTTATTTTTTATTTTTCTCAACAAGTTGTTAGTCTGTGGAAAATGTTATGAAGAGCTAATTGGCAATGTTGGGCTAATGGTCTTAGCACCAATTATATGAACCTGTAATACGCCAAAAAACATTTAGTAGTACTAGAAAGAAAGCAAATGAAATACATATTGGTCCCGAAGAGTAAAAGAAATCTGAAGGTATATGAAGATGGTTGGAGAAGAGGAAACAGGCATGGGGCTGTCACTGGTGACTGATGAAATATGAGAGAGAGCTGCAACAGTCCCAACAACTGAAGAGATAAATAATGAATGCAAGTTGGGAATTGGGACCATTACGGCATTATGTAACTCATTTACCAACTTCCCACTCTACAGTACTCTTTTAACCTACTTGTTGGCTTCTTGCCCTTGTTATTCTCCCCAATTTTACCCTATAATTACCCCTAGGGGCAGCAGATGCATTGTATGCATAGAATGTGAAGGATGTTTCTAAAGAGTCCAAAACTTAATTAATAATTTTTTGAACATAAAATATATTTTTGATGTTAAAAAAAAAAAGATACAATAATGGGTATTTCGCAGTTTTATACTGCGAATTGGCTTAACGGATTTTTTGCCGTTAAGGCATTTCGCAGTTTAAAACTGCGAAATACTAAAAAAATAATTTTTTATGACATTTCATAGTACAATACTGCGAAATAGGCTGATTTTAGGCCCCACCAATAATTAACTGAAATGTTTCACAGGCTATTGGGCTTCATCGCATCTACCAGTCGGGACAGGAGATGCAGCAGCGTTCGGACATCCCTGAAGTGGTTGAGTATGGCCGGGAGATGGCCCAGATGGCTCGTCTGACACTGTTGCAGGCGAGAGATGCCGAGAGGTTAGACCATGAGCCTCAGTATGTGGCTCCAGGGGCCTACCAGAGGGGTAGGCCAGTCCCACGAGCCAGGGGTAGGGCACCAGCGAGGGGACCCCCACCAGGCAGGGCTGCCCCACGGGGTCGCAGGGGACGACGAGGAGGTGGCCAGCAAGGGGGCGTTGAGGTACCTGTCGACCCACCTGCCGATGCACATGACGAGGAGTTCGGAGTTGGGGGCTTTGGAGATGACCAGCAGGGTTATATCCCTCATGCAGATGAGCCTTCCAGCAGCATGCCTTCATATAGCCTTCAGCTATCTTTGCCAGCATCGCAGGTCACCCCGTCAGGAGCATTGTCGATCATGGGTACATTCGACGGGGATGTAGATCAGTACTTCGCATGCACATCTACCGTAGCTGAGGGTCGGCCTGCCCGGGACGTGGATGGCGGGCGCAGGTTGAGTTATCCATCGTCCCCGGCAGTTCATGCGGTATGTTTGTATGACTTTAATATTTCAATTTGTTTTCTTTTCCTTAAATCGCTGCCATGAATTAATTGTAACTTTCTTATGCAGTCTTCGTCTCAGCCCATCTTTGAGGACACTACAAATAGATCGTTATTTATAGGTTCTTTTGAAGCGTAGAAAATAACTTGAACGCGCTTGTTATTTATAGGCAAGATATCAAATAGATCGTAGTATTATACTGCGAATTACAAACATGACAACTCCATAAAACGTAGTATTATACTACGAATTACATAGACATGACAACTCCACGAAACAGGGTTTTCACATGCTTTTCAGCTTTTTTTAGAACGAAATGACAACTCAATAAAACGTAGTATTGGAGCGGCGTGCACCTTCTGGATACCATTTGAACAAACTGCATTGTTCTCCGCAGTAGCACCTTGGGACATAAACGTTTTGTGCAGACATTTCTTATAGAGAAACTTTGGTTATTGTTAAGCGAAGAATATAAGTACCATGCAACCGTTATTTATAGTCAAGATTTCAAACAAAAACGTAGTATAATACTGCGAATTACATAGTAAACTTCAATGACTTAAAATAGAGTTTCCACGTGCTTCTCAGCTTTTTCAACAGGACATGTCAAATCCACAAAACGCAGTATTATACTACGAATAACATATTAAATGACCCTGACACGAAACAGGGTTTTCACATGCTTCTCAGCTTTTTCAAAATAAAGGACTAGGGGTATGCTTGATAGTTGGGTACATTGGACGAACTTGCACCAGGATTACCACCGCCACGCCCACCACCTGAAGGACACTTACGACGGTCATGTCCAGTTTGAGAGCATATGCCACATTTACGCGCATAAACGGACTCACCAACATCCATTTGGTTCCGTATACGCGTTCTCTTTTGCACTTTCAGCTTGCGCAAATAGTCCTTGTTACATACCAACTTAAAAGGGCCAATAATGCTCAGCACCTAATAGATGCAACTTCCCACTATACGTGTCTACGTATGCTGCAACACTGTATTGCCTATCAATGTAGTTTGTTGCCCCATATCCAACTTGTTGAAAGCACTTCAATGCATGTGGGCACGGCATGTGGTAGATGGTCCATTTCCCACATGAACATAACCTTCTATTTTCATTCACCGTCTGTAGATTATTCCCACGGTGTCCGTTGATAGCGGTCTTAACTTCAAAAACACCCCGTTCATGATCATACTGAAGAAATGAATGCCACTGTGCCCGCCTCCTGTACCTTTCAAATCTTGTCATGGGTATTGGCATAAATTCAAGACCCCTGTCCATCAATGACGATGCAGTTGCATGCCTTTCAACAAACCTCTCTGCACTCTGTTTGAAAGTCATGCGGACCATGGCAGTGACAGGCAGTCCACGGGCAGACTTCAACAAGCCGTTGAAGGACTCCGACACGTTTGTAGTGAGGGCTCCCCATCGTCTGCCGCCATCAGCATGCAATGTCCACATTTGAGGGTCATGTTACATCAACCAAGTATAGGCTCGTGGTTCTATCTGCCGGATCGTTTCCATGCGCCTCGTGAATTTACACTGCTGGTGCTCAGTTGCAGCCATCCACATTAAGTCATGCAACGCCTTGTCAGGAAATTTCTTCTGGAAATTGGCCTTCAGGTGCCTCACACAGTAACGGTGGTATGCATATGGTTCCTGCCATTCAGGCAAGTGACGTACAGAACTTAAAATACCACCATGCCGATCAGATATTAGACAAATACCTGAACGCTGTTTGACAACGTGCTGCTTCAAGTGGTTCAAGAACTGCGTCCACGTCTCTTCACTTTTGTTGGCACTAATGGCAAAAGCTAGTGGAAATATTTGTCCGTTGGCATCTACAGCAACTGCAATCAAAAGCTTAATATCATACTTTCCATAGACATGAGTACCGTCTATGGAAATTACAGGACGGCAATGCACAAAACCATCAATTGCTGGTTTAAATGACCAAAATACATAGTTGAATATATATTCCGGTCTGTCCGGACTTCGCTCATGCCTCCATTCAACAACAGTCTCGGGGTTAAAGTGTTGCAGTGCAGCCATGTACCTGGGGAGATTAGAAAAAGACTTATCCCAGTCGCCATAAATAAGTTCAAAGGCACGTTTGCGACCGAGATATGCCTTTCTTTTGGTTATAGTACAACCATACTCCTGGTGGACGGCTGTAATACACTCTTTAATCTTGAACCTAATGGACACTTCCAAAAATGGAACCAAGACAAGGGAAATCAAGTCGACATCCAAGTTGAAGTGATTCTCATTGAATGTGTCCATTTCACATCTGTGCTCGCTAATAAATTTACCCACTTTCCACAAACCTGATTTCTTCTTTGTGGCACGCAGCATCCAGTG